TCTATCTATCTATCTATCTATCTATCTATCTATCTATCTATCTATCTCTATTTAAAATGGCTCTCAGTCAAAGAAATCTAAAACCACATTAGAACTGTAAAACCAAACTGATTAAAACATTAAAGCAAATGGTAAAACCTTTCACCAACTCAAAATTCTAAATGGCTACTCTTTCCCCAATACTTGGGGTGAAAACACCACATCTTCACAGATTTAAGGAAGACTAGGAGGGTGAAGATCTGGTAAACTTCAGGGCCCAGAGTGTCCATAGAACAGGGGCAGCTGTGAAAAAGGCACACTTCCTAGCTCGTATCCAATGGCCATATTCAGAGGAAGAGATTAGGAGCATGTCTGCCCTACCTAACCTGATAGGACATTTAGGTCTCCTTGTTGTAGCTCTGGGCTACCTAGGACTTTAAAGCAGTGGTGGGCTGCAACCGGTTTAACCACCAGTTTTGTTAGCGCGTGCATGCGCAGCATACAAAATACACCAATTTCAAGGTCTACAGCTTACCTTCTAGGGCAGCCCCAGTAAGTAAAAGAGCTGAGGCGCGGGAATTCACTGTGCCGTATGAATCAGCTGAGCTGAAAAACGCAGAAATATAGGACAGGATAAGGCAGGGCCAGCTGATCTTCGGAGCTACTGGTTCACCAGAACCAGTCTGAACCAGCAGCATCCCACCCAGGTGGTGTTTATCACCTCGAGTTGCACCTGGAAAGAAACTGGAAGCTAGAGCAGAGGTTTAATATGGGCAAACATAAAGGGGGAGACATCACTGTGGGCATTCTGGACGAATTGAAGTTTGCAGGCAGTCTTCAAGCACAGCCCCATGTAGATCAGAGCGCATTGCAGTCATCCAGATCATAACCAAATTATGAGTTGATGGTAAGCCATGCTAGATGAAAGCTGTAAGAAATACCTTCAAAACAAGCCCAGGCTGTTTATTCTTTTCCTTCCTGTGGCATCATATATATTTATTTAAATTTCCTGTCCTCCAAAAGATGCCCATTGATAGTTTTTGTTGCCAAGAATAGCGTATTCTGTTTCCTCCTGTATAAATCACCCTTCGGGTTAGAGCCATTACTTAACCTTGCTAACCTTTTAGAAATGTCATTTTTCTTGTGCCACAAATTAAATATTGCATTTTTTTTCTTTGTCTTCACAGGGCCGGTGCATAAACTTTTCCAGAGTGCAGTCTCAGTAAAACAAGGAGAAAACAAAAGGAAAAGCCATCTTTTTTTATTATTATTATAACCAAATGAAGTCATTGAGTGAAGCACTTATAAAGAATTCCTCAGAATGTCTCCTAGCTCCGAGCTTGGAAGTTTACTCCACTTGGCTCTGCAAAAGTCACCCATTGCCACGTTAAGCTCCTCCATCTGCCATTATCTTTCAGCTTATTGCTTCATACAGTATTTCCTTACAGTATTATACACTCTGCAAGTGGCCACAGGAAGAATTTTGGCGTCGTGTGTCTAGTTTTCTACAGCACAGGAAACCACAAACAAGTGCCTGATCAGGTTGGCCTTTTGTGATGTTAGCACTCAAGACTTGATGAGCCTCTTCCCTGGAGGGGTCTTGCCTTAGGGGCACGAAGACGGAACTTATTATTTAAATATGAATGTATTTACCCCAGGGAGGAGAGCAAAATTCCCACTGGGCTGAAAAAACACACAGATGGGAGTTCATTGCCCTACGGGGGTGTCATCTCATGGAAATCTTTGAGTCTCGGTCGACATTCCCCCCGACTCTCCCACCTAGTTGGATTGTGCCTTACGGGAAACCTCTGACTTTAAAATCTTGTCACTTTGACGCTGTGGAGTATACATGTACGACCAAACGCAGCTGCGGTGCCTGGAGGTGTTGGTGGCGAGCGAAACTTTGCCCTCTAGTTTCCGAAGACACCTTTCTTGTACATGATGCACCCGGGACTGGAAGAAAAATTAATAGAGCGTCATTCTCCAGGAAGACCGCCTGGAACCAAAGATCTTGAGTGGTGATCGAGGGAGCTGAGGCATCGAGGGTTGTGCACTGCGCCTAATTGTGTATCTTCCCCTTTTCTGCACTTGGTGCTCAGTAGCGCATAAAAACATTGTCCTTTGTAAACATACGTAGTAATTCTGGTCTTATGGATTATTGTAATAGGACGGGGAGGGAATAAAACAGGCTCCACAAAGCTGGCAATCTCAGGGTCTCTTTTTCTTTCTCTCTCTCTCTCTCTCTCTTTCTCTTTCTCTCCTTTTCTCTTCCCTCCGCCTTAACCATCGCCGAACCTCCAAGGGCTCTTCAACGTCACAAACCAGCAATTCTCTTTGCATGAGAATTTCAAAGTTTAATTAATATAATTAAAGGCAACAGCAAGCAGCAGCCTGTGAAGATTTGGCTCATCCTTTTTATGCCTTTTGACATTGAATGACCTATCCCTGTAATGCGCATTACTCAATTTTGAGGGGCTACCATGCTTTGGTGGAGATTCAACAGTGGGAACCAAGAGGAAATGGGGGAGGGGAGAAAGCAAGGTACTTCTTTTTTTTCTCCTTCCCCCTCTCCATTTCTACAGCAACTGTGTAGTGTGCCAGCCACCAGGAAACATTGGCCGGGTAGGTATTTATCATTTTATATATGTAAACCTACCCCGCAAAAGGGAGAGAAAGGATGTCGTGTCACATCGGCCATGCCAAACAGTGTTAGCGTAAAAGGGAGCTCTGTGGGGCAGGGGTGTGGGGGGGGAGGAAGGCAGCAGCTGAAGAAAAAGGCTCAAATGATCCAGTCACTTTCGATACTGTACTTCAGATGCAAAATGGATATTCGAGGCGAAACCTGACAAAATGCGCCTACTTTGATGGGAACCGGTATAGACAATGACCAGTGGCTGGGTCAGTGGGATGTCTCTCTGCAAGCAGGGAAGCTTATCAAATGACACTAAAAATAAGTTCAACAACCATCACGTTTGAGGGGAAATGGGGAATATTTCACATTGGGCAGGCATGCTTGTGCACAAGATGGAGAAGGAGAAGGCATGCATGTTGGTCTAATTAGCCCTCCTTTGTTGCTTGGCACTGAAACCTCAAGGGGCATAAAATTATTCCCTTGGCCGATGACCAGATTTGCCGCTTCCTCTGAGCAAGGCTTTCCCCCCACCGGGCAGCCCCCTTGCTGATGTGGAAAGGCAAACTGGAAGAGGTCTTTAGATCGGAGAGGGTAGAAAATGTAATGTGGTGGAAAATGTTGGACGACTGGAGTCTTCCACACAATCACTAGGGGAGGCACTGTATGGCCACAAATGTGATAGGTAGAGATTTAGGTCAAAATTTGGAGGGTGGTGAAAGAAATCAGGAAGAAAGCTGTTGCAATCATGGGGGACTTGAGTTTCCCCGCAGTTGAGGTGGATTCAAGCCAGAATAAAGAAACCATGTTTCTCAACATCCTAGAAGATTATGCCTTAGCTCAGTTGGTCTAAGACAAGGAGTTTCCAACCTTGGCAACTTTTAAGACCTGTGGACTTCAACTCCCAAAATTCCCCTGGGTTGGGAAATGGCTGACTGGGGAGGAATTCTGGGAGTTGAAGTCCATAAGTCTTAAAATTGCCAAGGCTGCATGCTCCTGGTCTAAGAACTCACTAGAGTTCACAAATATAAAAATTGGGTGCAGTGCCTGTGATCTGGGAGGTAACCAATCTGACATCATCTTTGGAAAAGGAACCCAGAGAAGATCCATGAAATTCTAACACGGTAAGCTAAGCATCTTGGCAAGTTCATGTGGAGGATTTGAAGAACAAACGTTGGTGAAGGAAAGTCACATAGTCTTCACAAGGTAGATCTTGCACCAGTCAGCTTTTAAGGTTACTTTGGGGTATCAACAAGCACAGGATAGAAATGACTCTGTTGACAATTTATACATTAATATCCAGAAAGCCTTTGTCAATATCAAAAGCTTTTGAGTACATGTAACTTGTGGGCCTGTCCTTTTATGGATTGCCACAATACTCAAAAACAGAAAGTGAAGACTGATAGGCATTCTTCTCAGGAAACAGAACTAAGAAATAGGATCCCTCAAAGATCTGTGTTGAGATTTTTAACTTGTTCGTAAATGGAGTTGGTTGAGATTAAGCAGAAGATTGGTTAAAGTTGGGGTGAAAACCAAAAATAGGGTTCTCTGTAACCAACCAGCAATGAAAGTTGAGGTCAACTCAAAAATATGGCAACTGTGAAAAAGATAAACTCCATTGTAGAGACCATTAGCAAAAGGATAGCAAATGAAACAGTTAAGACTGAACGTATACAAATCTGTGATATGTTTGCATCTGGAACGTGGTTTTCAGTTCTGGTTATAAAGTTTGAAAAGAATGTGATAAAGGTGGAGAAAGTGCAGAAGGTGGTAGCCAAAACCTTCAAGGAGCTCTTAACACCTTATGAGGAAAAGGTAGAGTGTTGAGGACTTTTTAGCTCAGAAAAAGTTGAGGTGTCTAAATCATGCGATGTGTAGAAGAAATGGATGGAAAAAAGTGTTCTCTGTCTCTTACAGTGTTAAGATCGGGGTCATCTGGTAAATCTTATTGGAAGGAGATTTATTTTTAAAAAGAGAGAGATGGAAGCATTTTAGGCAACATGTAATTAATCTGTGGGATTCATTACCAGAAAAGGTGGCGATTACCATCAACTTGTATGGCTTTAAAAGGGGACTTGGATAACTCCATGAAGGAGACGTCTACCAAAGGTTACCTGTCTTGAAGACTCCATGTTGGAGAAGTCTTCCTTTAGACACCAATAATAGGGAAAGAGTGATGGGAGAAAGATAGCAGCCTTGGTCCTTCTTTGGAGTAGCACTGAGGCATTGGGTTGACTGACCACTGTGAGGAAGCAAATGCTGGACTAAGAAGGACCTTATTTCAAAATGGTCGGTCTTACATTCTTGCTTTGTCTTGGCTTAAGATGATCTTTCTTACTGAAAGCATGTGAGTTCATTCAGATAAAAGACTTAAGGTTCTACATGCTGTTGTTCTTAAAGGCTGTTGCACCTTTTAAATCAATTTATAGTCTTCTCCAGTTAATGGTTTACACCACTGAAGCTGCTTTCCCATATCATTTTGTGAAGGGTAAGGAGGCAAGCCGCAGGATAACTCAGGGGATTTCTGCTTAAATAATTGTGTAAAATTGTCTGGCTGTACAGTGTGTTAAATGCGGGGTTAGCAATGACAGTATCAGCACAATATGGCACCACAATCTCCCACAACTCTCATAGCTTTCAAAACAGATCCGCAGACTTTTGCAGCTGGAAAGAATATAAAATGATAAGTTTATTTGGTGTAGAGTGCTTAATACCTGCAATTCCTCACAAGCAAATAACTTTGTTCATCTCTGAGATTTTTTTTTTAATTGTGCAAGAATAAGGTAAACATCAAATCATGTAAGTTTCTTATCCACTTCCTATAGTTTTGAATCCATACCTGAAAAAATCTGGTATGGAATTTGAAATTAATTCATATTGCACATTAAAAATATTTCAAGACAAACATTTAGAAAAAGGCTTAATACATTTTGTTGGTTTAGAAAACAGTCTAAAACATTTCATTACTTGGGGATATTTAGTTTCTTGCTTTATTAAAAGTATACTGAGAGATTGCACCAATCTCAAAATAGATATATTTACAAAGGCATCGGCTAATGAGATTTGATATTCAAACATATATATAAAATTGATCATATGCAGTATTTCCATCTTTAAGAATTTCTATTCCGATTCTTTCTATTCCTTTCTGTAGAACAACAAAGGTTTTTCAGGGTACAACAATTTTGCATTATTTAATTGAACTGTTAAAAATAATTTAAACCAATACATCCTGACATAAATGATTGCTAATCTCATTGTTGACTTGGAGAAAAAAAAACACCATAATTCAAGATCTGTTTTAAAAGGTTTTTGCCTGTATTTACCAAGTTCATCTGCTGTCAGCTTTACTACAAATAACCAAAGCATTGTTAAATTAATAACATATATTGAAAGAATTAAAGCTATGTATTTATACCAATGCTGAATGGGTTTTCATTTCATTTTTAGTTTTCAAATATTGTAGAATCATAAAGGTTTAATCTGTTAGATTGGGGAAAAAATTCAACCACACAGAGACAGAACATAAAGGTGCAATTTGAGAAAATAATTGTGTACAGTTCTTTTATCCTGAATTTTTCAAACATCTTGGATCTTGGAAATGATACATAAAACATGGAATTATTGTTTCTCTATATGGACATGTAGAGAATCTGTAAGTCCTGAATAGCAGTTTCAACATGCCACTTTTCCCCTTTTAAGACTTAAATTAGGTCCTGAATTACAGTTATGTATTATAAAGTGAAGTTTTAAGAACAAATCTTTTTTTTGTTTAAATCTTATTGAACCAATGAGTCTCAGCCTGGTCATTCATACAATGCTCATGCATAACATTGATGAAAAATATTAGTATTTTTTAAACATCTTGCTTGTCTACTCCATTTTCCTTCTGATCCTACCTATTCAAAACACAGAATATCAGGATTTATCAAAGCCCCCAAATAACTGCAAGATCTTAATTGGATCAATATGTTTAGTCATTAGCCTTCCTTCCTTCCTTCCTTCCTTCCTTCCTTCCTTCCTTCCTTCCTTCCTTCCTTCCTTCCTTCCTCCCATCTATCCATCAGAATAGAGATGGAGGGGATCTTGGAGATTATCTAGACCAACTCCCTGTTGAAGCAGGAGATCCTATACCATTTCAGACAAGTGGCTGTCCAGTCTCTTCCTAAAAACGTCCAGTAATGAAGCACTCACAACCTCTGAAGGGAAGCTTTCATATATATATGAAATTGTGAAAGGAACTATTCCGTGTGGATACAGTTGGGTGAAAAGGAGACCCCAAAAATCAAAATGGCAGCCACAATAGCAAAAGTCCCGCCCCCTTTTTAATATGTCAGATGCATTAAAAGAGATAATCCTTCAGTCATCGAGGCCTGGTTGGCCACCTTCCCAGTGACTTCTTAGTTTGGTTCCAAAACTTACCTCATGCCACAGACATTTATATGAATAATCCGGAGGTGCTCTGTGAGAATGTAAAGGAATTTAGAGAGAATGAAAGGGAAACGAACCATTCAGCCAGGGCTAGAAAATTACTTCGTCCTGCAAAGAGGAAACTGAGAAAGCAACTGAGAATAACCCCACCTTGATTTTGTTTTTAGAAGGTGGGACAGAGATAAATGTGCACATTTTCAATTCAGTGGTGTTTTTTTTTCCACTGAAATCAGTGCTAAGTATTTTCCTTCCCCTGAAATCCCTACTAAGCATTTTTCTTGAGTTGGCATAGATTCTTCCTTAAAACTTGAATTATTATATTTCCACCAGTCTTAGATTGTGAATCTAATAGTAGCTTACCCACACACAGTAAAACCAACAATGTTAATTATATATTATATAAATATTTAGGTTTCCCCTTAATGGCTTATTCATGTCTTCCCTATCTCCAAGGTTAGCTCTAATTTCCTTTTTAGAGGAAGGCAGATCAGATGAATGTTGTTTTAATGTTAGTTGTACCCTTTGTAATTGGCATTCTACTGCAGTAAATTTATTATAAAGATATTGGCAATAGATTCAATTGCATTTATTTCCAAGTCTTTAAAACAATGTTCCTAGAATTGATTTAGTGCATTGCAGATAGTGACCAAGAGTAAGATAAGAGGCTAGAATTTTACATTGGTATCATCCAGCCCTTGCTAAATATTACAAAATATTAAAGGTTAAAGCACCCTCTATACTTTCCTAACCATTTTAGAGAAAGTTCTTATAACCTACCATATCCATTTGCGCTAACAATGCTTGTGAGACATCAGAACTGAGTCTCTCCGCTTTGGTTGACTAATATTTTCTTATCGATACACAATTGTGTCAACTCCAAATACACTCACTTGGAGATCAGAAGGGAGGATTAGACAAGGTTGAATCAGATGGCACCTTTCTTATACATAAAGGTAAAGGTTCCCCTTCAGGAGTGGGATTCTACCAGTTTGCACCTATTCTCTAAAACCAGTTGTTAACATTCTAAGCAGTTTGGAGAACCGGTTGTTCAAAGAAATTACTGGCCTAATCCTGTAAGGAAGGCAGGAAGGAAACATTCTGGTGTCACTTGCAGAAATTGCCTTTCTGTTAACCCTTATTACATTCTTGGCAGGACTAGACTTCCTGTCTCTGGAACTTCTCTGGAGGTTTTTTTTTTCCTCCCTTGCTGGTACTATGCTTGTGTCAAGTGACCATTCAAAGTTAAAATGGCACTGAAAAAAATGACTTATGACCACTTTTCACACTGAAGACTGTTGCAGCATCCCCACAGTCATGAGAGGCCTGGCGAGGAGATGCGTGCCTCAATGTGAGTGATGTTGAGATGGCCATGCCCCGCCAGTCACATGACCACCAAGCCATGCCCACCAACTAAGCCACGCCCACAGAACCGGTTGTTAAAAAATTTGAAT